AAAAATGGAAAGAGAGATACATAGAAATTGCATTATCTGACTGCTCTGTTCAGTCAGGTAAAACACTTTTGCTATTCCCATTGATTCTATTCTGGTGTAGAAACTGGTGTAGTGCTGTTGACTTGTCAGCTCCATAATTTAACAGAAATGTCTGGGGATGAGCGATATGACAATTTATACTGTGAGAGGATAGCAATTTTTCAGTTTATACTGGGCTAGCTTTCACTTAAATGTCTCTGGTTGTATTAATCAAGTGTCAGGTGATTATTTTGTTGATTATTAATTAATGGTTTGATTTATAGAATGTCAGAAAGTTGTGGAAAATGCACAAATAACAATTTCCCAAAGCCCACTTGACTTCTTCAGATTGCCATTTGAGAAGCAGCAACCAGAGAATTTTGGGCATTTATGCTTGAAAAACAGCATTTTTCTGTTGATCAGTTGATTGTTTCAATTCTCTAATTGGTTATTGTGGGCAAATCACTGAGAAGATTTGCTATTGCATTTAGTTTTGGCTTTAATGTGATGAAGTAGCGTGATTTATGTGGCATGTAATTCAGTGGATTATTCTTACATTTTACAAACAAAACGCTAACAATTGACCAAATAATCAAGATGATTGTTGGTGGATTAGTTGAAAATAGACAATATGTTTAGTTGCAGCCCTATTTATTTTACCTTTTAATAGTTTATCATAAAATGCACTATAGAACTATATGCAGTATTGATTTGGCAGTCTAAAAAGACATATACCAACATTTCACCCCAAATGCTCACCCTTGCTTAGATATGTCTAAAATTTGTGTTCACATGTGTGACGTGTTTTAGGACTGAGCTTAACTCATTCATTCTGCAAGAGTCACCTTGGCACAGATTTAGCCACGCCTTTTGTGTGACGGAAGCTACTTTCTCCTTCACTCATCCCTTATTAGAACGGCACTGAAACACAGCAGAGACTTGGACTAACCAATATAACATTGGAGGCACTGTGATTAACAGCGTGAACCCAAGGCACACAGGCCGCATAACCTTAATAACACCATCAGAGGAAGTTAGTACTGCAGCACCCTGTAGGAGTGCAATCCTTAATCATAGTGTCAATGTACTCACATAAAGTGGGGTCCCTGCAGTGAAGACATATGCTACTAGAGATGTAATCTATCTACCAGTGATCTAAACGATTAATAATCTATATCTAATCTGCACCTATGGGTTCAGATCAGCCCATCATACAGGTTGAGATGTCATTTCCTGATTAGAGATCATCTAGAGCGCATTGAAAGGAGGCGTGTGTGTTTGTGTCTCTTGGCCTTGAAGTGGGTTATATGAAAATGAAAACATGTAAAACTGACAACAAGCAGGCCACTGAAAATCAGTTTTGTTTTCTTTAGTGATTATTTTTGCTGTGATGCAAAGACGATACCAGTGGAAACACTGTCGCGCCTTTTCGCTTTGAAAGTACAGCGGCCCTTGTGCTGCGGTCCGGCCACACAGACAGCTCTTTTCTTCCTCTTTGGATGTTTTGGCAGCGTCTTTACCGGTGTACTGTGCTGATTGCAAAACAGCGTCACCACATCAGCGTAATGCCGCAGCTGCAGTTACAAATGACAGAAATCCACAAAGTGCAACGTTCATTAAAAAATAGTGTTTACTATGAAGACACCTGTCAGTTTTGTTGAGAGCTGGAGGCAGGACCAAATTTGACAGTGGCGGTTGCCTCTTAATGCTCTATGCAGGAAAACCCTACAATGGATTGGCATGCAATTTTGTTGACATTCATGGTTCTCTGGGGATGAATCCTTCTGACTTTGGTAGTCACCACCATGAGGTTCCCATCTGTCGTTTTGAGTGAAAACAACTAACTTAACCCCCACCCTGTTAGCTCACCAATATCACCCCCAACTCTGTGTCCCTTAGGGAAGACCCTGACCATCTGTCCTCCTGGGGGCTCCCTGTCAGGACAGACTGCTGTCTTTACCCCATGCTCAGCTGCAGATGATTGCACTTTGTCTCACTGGTGTTCACAGTAACAACTACAAGTCACGCAGCTTCAAATCAGACCGCAGATGGCTGAAACACAATAATCATCAAATGGCAGAAATCCCAGATCCTGATTGCCACTTTAATCAGTCGTACCTCGGCCTAAAGCCTAACTGACCACTAGATTTCTTGGAAATCAATTCATACTGTAAATTTGTGAGACCGACACATGATTTCAATTCATGTTTGCTCCATATTGCTATTTGAGCTTCTTAAAAACGTCAGCTACATCAGAGATATCAAGAAATCTAAAGGTTAATCAATAATCATGTTTTATGGGATAATTTGTCAGAATGAAATGGATTACATTGATTTATAGGAATGGGGATTGTTAATTTTTATTGATATTGATACCCTTATTGAGACTGCTTAATGATCCGATTCTTTTATCAATACTACTATCAACACACTTTACTATTATTTGATGATGGGTATTTGGTAAGACCTGGCCCAAAGGGCCTGAGGTAGGCCTGCACAGTTTGAGGGTGCGATAACATTGTTATAACAAATTTTGCAGTGTGCATATTAACTGCCTGGTTGTTTTTAATTTAATTATAGGATTATACTTTAATATTTTAAATACAGCTAAATGTTGCAGCAAAGTCACTATACAAACTCAATATTTGACATCACAATAGTGAGTGATGTTTAGAAAGAATAAAAACCTTTCTTATATTCAGTCTATGATAAAAACTCATACATCAGTCTGTGTCAGTCCCTACTCTTTCGCTGCTGCCTCCTCCTCCTCCTCCTCCTCCTCCTCCTCCTCCTCCCTCTCTGCTGTTATTCACTGCCTGCAGGTAACATTACCTGGTCAAAGGAGGAGCGGCTGGTTTATCTCAGCCAGCAGCTGAGTTTTCAACAATGTGCCAAGATTTTAGGGCTGACCCTAAATAGTCGAAGATTCGATGCGCCTGATTACACTGAAGCTTCGCGCTGAAACAAGGATCATACCATTTTGTCGATATGGGTGTGCTCAACGTCTGATTTTACATAGAACTACCAGAGAGAAAAGGGTCAACAATAAGAATCTGGAATACTGGAAAGGTACCGTGTAAGTTACAGTGACTACTAGTGAGCTACCTTGTGTTACACCCCCCCCCCCCGCACAAAAAAACAGCACATAATTTGCCTAACGTTATCAGTGACTCCTGTGTCAGGGACAGCCCTACCAGATTTTAAGACTACTGAGCAGTCTAACATTATGCTCCAGACAGACAGCTTTATATTTAGCTTGTTTTTAACATTTGGTTTTAATATTTGGAAGCTCAAAGCATAACGTTACATTATAGGACCCGCTAGTGTTGATGGCAGTATTGATAAGCTTATTAATTTTGGGGTTTTAAGAAATTTCAGAACCGGGTCCTTTTAGAACCGGGTATCGATCCCCATCCCTACTGATTTAGTTTAAAAGGTTTTACATTATGTTATGCTTTCCAAATTAAATTAGCACCCCGCGACCCTGTATGCAGCATAAGCGGTTGACGATGGATGGATTAAATTAGCATTCTTGTAGCATCTCCATAGCCGATGAAGTTTTGTGCTGGGTGCTGGAGAAAAAGTTGAGTTCTTGACAATACTTTTTATTTGAGGGAAAATCTGTCCATATTGCTGCAGTCTGTGTGTTTGTGACAATAGGTGTGAAAGAGCCCAGTCAGCATCTGTTTGTGGCTCCTGAAAGCAGCTCTGAGGCTCGGCCTGGCAGCAGGGCGACGTGGCGGGACTGACCCCTGCACCGGGACACTGGGGCCAAAATCAATAGTTGTATCGTATCACTTATCAGACTGTAACAAGCAGACTGATTACCTCATCACCTGCTTGTGGAGAGAGTGGAAGGGTGGTGGAGAGGAAGCAAAGAGAAAAAGGGGGGTGAGATCGAAAGATAAAAAAGCATAAATTATAAAAGGGAGGGTGAAGGATCATTTTGGAGGAAAAAACATAAAACCCTCCAGTGTACAGATGGAAGAAAAGACCCCATGTTTTCTGTTATATTCAGGGGTGGCAATAGTGACAAAATCAAGCTTCACTATGTCACTACAGTCTGTACTGTGGCATATAATATATTTACACAAAAATATTTTGAGAAAATGAATACACAGAGGAATTCATCAACTTAAGCTAATTTAGGATATTACAAAACAACAAAAATCAATGCATCACCAAGCACCACTGCATTATTACCTTCTTTTCTTATAAAAACTGATAATAAAAAATATATAACCCTCATTTAGGAGAAGAAGAACACACAAAATCATATCATAGTAAAATCATAGTATTCATATATGTATGAAAATTTATAGCGGGGACATTGCGATTCATGGTCTGCGCCGCAACCACTCAGCGTCCCTTAATACCTAAAGCAGTTACAATTCATATTTTTATAATAATGTATCAAATGACGAGGTGAAAGGGACCGCTGGTATTGTTGAGCCTACAGAGAAATATCTCTCATGCAGCTCCCCTTGGCTATACGGAGCTTTATAGTGACTTTGAAATTATTGTTTAGCTGCCCTTAAATTTACAGTTATGGTTCCCTCTCACCACTCTCAGCATCAGTTTCGGCTTTAAAAACATGAACATACTCCAAAAACCCACTGCTTAGCACTAAACAGAAGACACAGTTAGCACCTAGCTGGTGAGCATAGTGGAGCATTTAGCAGCTAAAGAGTCAGTTATTTCTCTTAGGAGTTGGTAGAGACCAAAAACAGAGAGTGAAGATTGGCCTTCCATTTGTCAGATGAATCACAATGTTGCTCCATAACTGCTGGATATGTAAATAAGGAAGTGTTTGCTAACAAGTTCAACATATCAGCTTAAAAGGTGACAATATGTCAGTGCTGTGTTTATATCTTGTTACACAAAAAATCTGTTATTGAAATTTTAATATAATGTAAATTCTGCAAACATCAGTGTTATTTTGGGTCAACAGTTTAACATTAATTCTCTATGTTTTCCCTCAGAACAAAGTGCAGGAGAAGAGAGGAGCAAGTGATGAGAGCTCTTTGCCATTTCCCTTTCTGCCCCAGACCTCCAGGAGGAGCGCACTGGGTGTCACTCTGAGGTAAAGAACCACACACAAAAATAAAACACCCTCTGCAGACAAAACCCTTCTCTGACAGCGCTGACCTTCAGTATTTGCTGACTAAAGCGTCCCCCACACTCCTACCTCTCTTTTTCTTTCTGTCTTTCTCTCTCCTTTCACTGTTGTTGTTGTTTTTCTCTCCTGTCTTTCGAGGAGCCATGGACATTGATCATTGTTCTGACTTGGTGGTGTGGGCTGGAGTTTGGAGGGATCCACGGTGGTCACTTTGTCACATGGACACACACACACATTTATGGTAATGGGGGTCTTGGCCTCCGTCTTTGAAGTGTCCGGTTAGGGATTGGTTTTGGAGATGGATGGCATTTGGAGTGTGTGACACAGGGGGGTGGAGGGAGGAGATGAGGGGTCAAGGGGTCAGGAATTTGGTGCTGAGCCTGTGTTGTTCCATACGGCAGCCGGGTGACAGCAAAGTCACGGAAGGTGTGTTTCATCTATTTACTTCTGCCACAAATCTAATTTTAGCTACACTCCCTCTTTCACAAAACTTAATATGGAACTCCTTTAAAATAATTTTGTTTGTTTCTTTCAGCCATGAGCAGCCTCACAACACTGACTCCTGACATGAGCCCCTTATCATTTCTATCAGCTCAAGGCCACACAGTAAAGGGCAGTGTTTTTGAGATATGTGGGGTGATAATAATGTGTGGTCAACACAGCAGCAGCTGTCTTCCTCTCTTCTTTCCACTGTCTCCGTTACAAATCTGCTGTCTCCTCTACTCTCCGTCTTTCCTCTAGTCCAGCTCAGCCTGTCCCAGCCCAGCTGTCCCCTTCCTTCATTAGCTGTCCCACAACGATAACCACCGGCTGCTTAGGCAAGGTCACTTTCAAAATACAAAGGACTCTGTATAAGTCCTACTCACTTTGGTTTATACAGGTTTCTCACAAGGTAACGTTGCACTAATGATTATTTTTATGTTAACAATGGATAAAAAGACCAGACTCTACAGACTTAATTATTTAAATGCATATTTTGGAAGCATCAAATAGTGGTTTGAGTTCCAGTGCAGCGAAAGAAAGTAATAACATTGTTAACACTGTGCTTCATTACAGGGAAATACAAAACCGTAATAATATGCCTTTTGAAGTATACATTTTACAAACACAAGCATGAAGTGAGCGGTCTGTTAGATGCTAACGACAAGCAGTAATGATTCTGAATGTGTCGGAACAATCAACAAGGAGACTGAACATTTTGTTAATTTATTTCAACACAGTATAACATCACACAAGTCTTGTTCAGAATACGGAAAAAAAAAAAAACTTTCAGCTTCACAAGAACAAATACTTGTGGACTTACCAAAACAAAGGTAGTTCCATGTTGCAACGATCCCCTGACACTTTCGTATTTATTTAAATTTAAATAAATGAAAAGTTTGTTGACTAAGACTCTTCTCAATGACTAACATTTAGGTTACTTGGGGGCAGCCCTAGATGTGAGTGAAATTACAGAGAGCTACATTCTCTGCTGTGTGTGTGGTATGTTTCCACTTAATAAACAAGTTTAAACTCTTTCTCCCACTCTGTGCTGACTCATACGAGGTTTTAACATGTTAAACTGAACTGATACTCTCAGTTTTCCAAGTTACCCATTCGGAGGCTGAAATAGAAACTCTTGCTGACTCACAAACACACACACACGCACTTACTGTGAAACACGCATAAAAGACTCAAAAGCTTTCTGGTGTTTTATTTTCAGCACAGAGAGGTGGGCTGTGTTAATGGCAGTAAAGTGCCAAGTCAGAGAGCTGAAGTATACTCTCTTTTCACTTGTTATACCACTGTGGGACTCAGAGGGAGGTACAGAGAAGTTCCAGTAAAGAGAGAGAGAGAAGACACTCTCACACACGCGCGCGCGCACACACACACTCCTCTAGCATTACTTTGCCCTGCTATTGGTTTTCCATGGAAGCAACACAACAATGAACCTAGTTAGTGATGTGTACCACATTGCTGAGCACTGTGTGTGATTAATAAATAGCATAGAGCTTAAACAGTTAGGAAATAAATCAAATAATGAATTGATGGGGGGAAAGGCCTAACTGAACAGTTTTCATCATCAAATAAGTGTTAACAGCTGCTAGCAGCTCTATGTGGCTGTAGCCTACTTATAGGCACAGAGGGGCTTTGCTAACATCAGCATGCTAACATGTTCACGGTGACGATGCTAACATGCTGATGTATTCATGTTTATCATGTTAACTATCTTTGTTTATCATGTTAGCATGCTAACATTTGCTAATTGACCCTTAGCTAAGCTACGCCCCGAATAAATAGTATAGTATAGGACTCATTCTAACTGAGGTCCGACACTTTCTTGGATGCGCTCCATTCACTCGAACGCAAAAGGAGTCGTTTTCTAGCTTTCTTCTACCGTATTTATATAGATATGGTCAAACGCTGTTCCTGGGGCACTTGTAATAGTCACAGCTACCCAGAGAGGTTGAAAGGAGAAGTACAATTTATTCTCTTTCCAAAACCTAAAATAAATTCAGAAAAATGTAGGCTGTGGGTTTTTCCTAATGTGATGTTAGTTAGCTAACGCTAGCTAATTTCCTGCTGAATGTAACGTTATAAATCCCTACTGTTGTGCTTTTTAACAATTGTAATAATGAATAGAGGCCTACCCAGCTTTACAGGAGCGGTGTGGATCCTTAATATCGTTGTCTTTTGTCTCAATCATCGGGGGATCGGTAGGCTTTAGCTTCTATCTTTCATTTTTTTTCACGTCCGTTTGAGTCAGTTTGACAGCCTGAATACAACCTTCAAATGTATAATACAACTGCAAAACTCTCACTTTCTGAGATCGCTTTTTCCAACAAATTTGTCAGTATTTCTCCGGGGAGTGCATTAATAGGCAGTGGCAGCGCCGACAGTTTGTCGGACTTTGCAACAGTAACTAAGGGGGGCGGGGCTTAGCAAATGGTCAATTATCAGTTACATTTGAGGCTGATAGGGATGTCTTTAGTTTTGCAGAAATTTGGTCATGAACCAAAGTAGCCTATTAGAAAAACTGAAATGAAAACCACGGATGTCAATCTCATGGTGGAGCTAGAGGAAAAGTCAGGGGATCACTAAAGTCATTGGGATTCATCCTCTGGGCACTGTGGATATCTTCCGTCTCAAAAGTTGAGATTTTTCAGTCTGCTGCACTGACCAACAGTCCTGCATTGCCATTCATTAAGCCACGCCATAAGTATGGCCTTAAATGCCAAACATTTGGTGTTTCAAGCTTCACAAATGCGAGAATTTGCCGCTTTTCTTTATTTTCCATGATTTTAATATGTCCTCGGGGTCAGGGAAAAACACTTTGGGAACTTGTGATGAGCATTTTTACTTTTTACTGACACATACTAGATGATTGGTTCCCAACCAGGTTTCAGGTTAAATCTGAGGGCTCTATGGATTATTAAAAGGAATAAAATAAACACTCTCAATTTGCAGCCTTAATATAGCTACAGTATGCCTATCTCACTGTACACACATTTTTCTTTCCATCATCAGTCTCACAATCTCCAAACAAACAACTTCAACACATCACTCAAAACTGATTCATTTCCTGCTGTCTGTTACCTGCCAAATAATACCCATGCTCACCTTCATGTGCACAAGACAGCATGTGGAGTGCGCAAGCACAAAGATGAGCGGAAACATGTTATGTAACTTATCCAATATGAGTGAATTGACCCACAGCCTTCCCTCTGTAGCGGTTGCAGCTCTTGATGTAGTCAGTGTTTGATAATTGCACAATTGGGTCTAACAGCATTGTTATTTAGCCAAAGGATAAATGCTTTCACACAGATCCACCAAACAGAAACAGTGGACACAATTTCTAAAAATGTTGTATCTGACGCAGGATTGTATTGATGCAGAGAATATGGGTGAAAGAGAAGGGGATGGATGAAGCTCAGGCTAAAAAGACAGGGGGAGGAGAGTTGTGTGTGTGTGTGTGTGTGTGTGTGTGTGTGTGTGTGCTAACAGAGGGAAACTAGAGGCAGGGGGGCTGGTAGACAAAAGTGAGAGAGGGGAGGGAAGGAATGAGGAGCGGGGGCGGTGCTAAGGCAGACAGCAGGGAAGGAAAGCTGAGAAGAGGAACAGTGGAGTGAAGTGAGAAGAGAGAGGAGGAGGAGAGGACAGGGCAGGAAAATAAGGGGGCTTCCATTTGAAAGTCCTCGTGTCGGGATATGAAGTCCTGGTGCCGCGCAGAGGCAACGGCAGGAAGCACGGCAGGAAGCTGGAGTGTTGTAGAGGAGAGGTAGACGACGAGGTAAAAAAGAAGAATAGATGTGTAGAATCTGAGCCAACAGAGACTGAAGTGATTTTTCTTTTTTTTTCTTCCAAGAGAGACAAGTGGAGGCAGCGATGCAGGGCTCTCACTGGGGTGAGTGTGGAGGAAGAAACAGATTGTGTTGTGCATGTATCTGCATAAGTTTGTGTGTGTGTGTGTGTGTGTGTGTGTGTGTGAGTGAGAGTGTGTGAAAATTAAATTCTCTAAACTCAGGCTCTCTATACCCTGCTCTTTATTCCAGTTAGGCTTTGTTTACATAAAGTCAAATTTGCCTGAGGAAACTTTGTGTTCATGATCACCTTGAGTCAGCGTGAATCCACTTCAGAGACTGTCAATTGCGAAAATGCCAATAATGGAAGATGTGTCACGGAAAGAGTTTGAGACAAAAGTTGCTTGGCAGGCCCATTCCACATGGAAACACTGATTTTAACAGGATTGGAAACTAGTTCAGGAATGCCAGTGAAGGCCAAAAAGTTGGCGAGGACTTTTAAATCTGGATACACTGAGACCTGAATGTTCAAATAATATACATATATAAAGAATCCCTGGAAAACTTGGTTTTTAGTCATTTTGACTGGGATTTAAGGCAGCTGGTTGATGATTCAGAGCTAACATTGACTTTAGGTTAGTTTTCTGAAGTGGTGTTTGCTGTATCTGCTCTAAATGACCCTGG